GCAGCAGCAGCAGTAGCAGCAGCAGCAGCACTTGCAGGGGCGGCAGCGAGTACAGCCGACAAAAGTGCCAGTGCAGATGTACGACTTGGCGTGTGCTGGACCGCAATCGTCGACGGCAACGATGCGGACTTCGGCATGTGCGCTACGGTCTGTCCATGATATAGGCCCCGTCGTTCCGAACATGTGCTATGCTGCTCCAGCTCGTGCATTTGGGCAAAGTCGATGCTGCATCACCAGAATGTCCCGACATGGTCCGAATGGCCTGTTCATCGTATCGACGTCGTGGCGATGTTGTCGTGCATGCTGCGTGCTGTGCTCGTCGTAGTGATCGCTCCTCTGCATTCGTGCACGTCGACCAACTTACCTAGGTACTTGTGAAAAAGTTTGGTGGAGAGAAAGAAGGTAAGATGCCACGATCTCGGAACTCGACATGCACCACCCGACGCTGCTCACCGTCGCTGGCTCACACTGGCTCGGCGGCTAGGCACGGCAGCGTCCAGAAATGGCCCAGCTCTCTCTCCACCCATCCCAGGCAGCTGCGGCGGCTCACAGTTGCGTCGGGTGGCAGCGCTCTCTCGCCTTGGGCTGGCGGCCAGGCTCGAATTTCCCAACGCGCCCGTCGGAGCCGAAGCTGGCGCCAATTTGGTCGAGCCAGCAGCATGGAGGAGGGAGCGTGGGAACTTTTGTCCATCTGTGCGCCAAATTCGAATTTCGAGTGCGAATCGACGAGGCAGCAGAGCGCGTGCTCAAGATTTGGCAGGGCAAGAACCTGTCGATTTTTGGAGCCAAGTGGGCCACGACCAGCCAGGCGCAACGAGTGCCGCAAGGCGCGCCAGAGTCTCACCTCTGCTGCCCTGCCTCGATGGGTGCAGCAGCGCGCAGCCGCCTCGAGGCTTAGATGGGCTGAGACTCAGACCCAGCGTCGCCAGCGCTAGAGCTGAGGAGAGCCGGCGTGCGGAAATGCTCGAGGCAGCTCCTGGCTCTCCGCAGCGCCCTGTCTGCAGCGCTCTCGAGAGGAGAGCGCGCGCTGGGCAGACTTGGACGTTGCGTCGCCGTCATTCTACCTTCTTCCTCCTCACCATCAAGATTGCCCAACATGTAAGTAGCAACATGCTGCTCGATGCGTGCCATGCTTCTGGATCCGATACGACACACATCACGATACCACGCTACGCCCATTGCGCCGACACACGCTCCACCATCCAACATTGCAGAGCGGCCACACATTGCAGACAGCTCTATTGATGGGGAATCATCGTTGGGAAACTTTGTCGAGACAAATTACCATGAACAACAAGCTTTCGACATCTACAACGTGCGCTCGACCTGGCTACATCACGTATCTCGACGAACGCCAGCGACGTGGCAGACGTACGGTTCAGTTCGTGTCGGTCTGCAGCCGTCAATAAGCCCATCTCCAGGCCTAGGCCTGTGATGGGGGCATGGCATCGCAACTTGTCTTCTGCGTACAATCGACGACCGCAGTGCTGCAGCGCTGCATCGCTCATCGGCACTGCACGAACGTCGCAGTCGCTCCGGCGTAGCATCCTTCGACTCGGCACCAATTTGCAACTCGTTGCGACCATTTCGGATCAGCCCGTCCATATTGGACAGGTCACCCGCCCCACTGCTCCAACAGACTCATCCGACCCAGAAGCATGTCACGCATTGCACCGTCCGCCCTTCTGCGCAACATTCAAATCGAGCAATCAGACTGACATCACCACTCGTTTCCACTCGCAGGGATGACTACGACGCCGCCGCCGCTGCCGAGCTCAAGCGCAAGCGAACTTTCCGCAAGTTCACCTACCGTGGTATCGAGCTCGACTCGCTCCTCGACATGACCAACGAGGACTTCATGCAGGTCGTCCACGCCCGTGCCCGCAGAAAGTTCCAGCGCGGCCTCAAGCGCAAGCCCATGGGCCTCATCAAGCGTCTGCGCAAGGCCAAGGCCGAGTGCCAGCCCAACGAGAAGCCCGCCATGGTCAAGACGCACCTGCGTGACATGATCATTGTGCCCGAGATGATCGGCTCCGTCGTCGGCATCTACACTGGTCGCTTCTTCGTCAACACCGAGATCAAGCCCGAGATGGTCGGCCACTACCTCGGCGAGTTCGCCATGACCTACATCCCCACCCGCCACGGCGCCAAGGGTAAGGGTGCCACCGTCGACCGCTTCCTCCCCATCCGATAAACGTCTCGTCTTCCCCCGCTCAAACGGGACTCGCGCTGGTCCTGCTTCTTGCAATGTCGTTTTGATGTTGCTGCGGTCCAGCCATGTACTTTTCTCCTCGAGTCCACATCAGATCCCTCCGCGAGCTTCGTGGACAGCTCAAACCACCCCCCCCCCCCCCCCCCCCCCC